TCAAGGAAAACAGCGACGAGGCGCGCTGGGCAGTGACTTGTGATCTCTTTCAGATAGGGGTTTCGGGTTTAGGGATTTAGGGGTTTAGGGGTTTAGGGTTCACGGGTTGAGGGTTCAGATGGGTTTAGAGTTTAGGGTTTAGGTGTTTAGGGGTTTAGGGTTTTAGGTTTCTAACATGAATATATGTATCATAATACAATATATTCTAATATGAGATAGTCACTAAAATGTACAACATAATCATAAGGCGAGATAACATATAATGAAATATGCATACAATATGCAACACAATTTTGAAGCAAGCAGAAGAGTTGTATGCATGATTATTCAGCAAAAGTGGTGGGATAGCACCTATAGTTGTTCCATGTGATGGAATTCCGAAGGCTTCAGATGGATTTCTGGAATCCATTGTACGAACGACAGTCAAGCCATTCACGCTCAGGTTGAGGCGATTGACGAGAATGGGGACTACTGCGTGGACAATCAAGAGCCCCTTTGCTGACTTCTTGCAAAGTCTAAGAGTCGTGGTCGCTGTCGACTCCTCATTGTGTCCCCCAGCGGTCCCGAAGTCAGAGACACGGCGTTTTGCTTCCATGTGCCTGACTGCGCTCAATTTTGCTGCAGGTTTCTTGCGTTCGTGAAGACGCAGGTTAACAACCTGCTGGCGAGCGGCATCTCAGGCAGCAGGGTTGGGCTGATATATCTTGCGCGTTCAGCAGCGGTAGTGAAGTTTAGCGGCTTTGCGGTCGGGAGCTTCTTTGCAGAGGCCAAAGCACGCTGCCAGACTCCATCGGCACGGCCAAGAAGCCTCGAGCTCATCCCGTTCCCGTGCATGTTCCTGAAAAGTGCCTGGGCTTTGTTAGCAGGTCGAGTGTCGTGCTGTGCTTTCTACACATCGCTACTATGCTCGGAAGTGAATTTGGGAAGCTTGCATGTTGTGATGTGCTGTCCACGATTCTGTGTGTCTAGCTACGTAAGCCGGGTTGCTTCGGTGGAGAGCACTTGATCCAAGGAAGCCATTGTCCGGGCCCAAGCTGCCACGGTCCAGTGGAATGGAGGCCCAGGAGACCAAGCAGTTCGCAACAGTAATAGCTAATAGTGGTAGCAATAGCAACAGTAAGATGCTGAGCTTCGCCATCTACACCGCAGATGCGTGTTCCAAGGAAGCGGCAGACTAGTGACCTTGTCCAGGCAGCAGAGGCGCACTGTGCTTTATGACTGAGGCTTCCTCAAGAACTGGCGATGTTTGATATGCCTCAACGGTATCTGAGCTTTAGAGACTCCTTGGGTTGAGACAGCTTGACAGCTTATCGAGAAGAAACAGCACAGTCTGTCTGCCTTTCTCGAAGAACTGTCGTTTGTCAAACGAAAGTTCAAGCAATCCATGTAAGTTCGGATTTGGTGGGTTGGGTGCTACCAGTAGAAAAGGAGCAGTAGGCTCCCGGGTCCAGCCAGCAGCTCCTTGCTGGCAGGTGGAGCAGGAAGTCCACCTCAGAAAAGCCAAGCAGCGAAAGGCCTCGGAGTCACGAGTGCACATGTCGAGGGCGGCCCCCGACTCCGATGACTTTAAACTAAACACTTACTACATACTTCTCGCGAGTAAGGACCCAAGCCACTGAAGAGCCTAAGGTCGCGTACAGTAATGTGGGACGGTGTTGCCTTCTCCAGATTTCCATAAACTCAATGTTGCGTACTCAGTGTACTTCTGTGTCTAGATATATCCGTAGGGCATTAAACTTGCAGGACGTATGAAAAGCCCGAACCCAAAGCCCTCAAAGCCCTAAAGCCTGAAGCACTCGAAACCTGAATCCCTCCCTAAAGCCCCACGGGCCGCTTGAAGTTCGGAGGCAGAAGCGGATGAAGAGCGACTCAAGGCTGAAGAGGAGGAGGGTATCGAGGCAGGGATGAACATGAACATAATAAGTATATGTGACAAGTACATATATAGATGTACATATAACATATATAGATATACGTGTATACACAGGTGGTGAATACATACATACATACATACATACATACATACATACATGCATCCATACATACATACATACATACATACAGACATACATACATACATACATACATGCATCCATACATACATACATACAGACATACATACATACATACATACATACATACATACATACATACATACGTGCGTCCATACATCCATACATTCCATGCATCCATGCATCCATGCATGCATGCATGCATGCATGCATGCATGCATGCATGCATGCATGCATGCATACATACATACATACATGTGAATAGTTGTATACATACATATATCTATATACACATA